GGCCTAATGGCTCCTGGCTCCGCCTAGAGCCGAACAAAGCCTCCTCACTCCCCTCCTCCCCCGCCCCGCGCGCTCCTTTTCAAAGGGTTTGATGGGGATGATTCAAAGATTAGGTCTGGAGTGTTCACAGTCTCAGGTGTGTGTAACACCTCCCCCAGATAATATATTACCTACACACACCCCTACTGCACACCCTGTGTGTTATTTACATACGCACCCGCCTCCATATATAAGCTACGCCTCCTCACTCCCCTCCTCCCCCGCCCCGCGCGCTCCTTTTCAAAGGGTTTGATGGGGATGATTCAAAGATTAGGTCTGGAGTGTTCACAGTCTCAGGTGTGTGTAACACCTCCCCCAGATAATATATTACCTACACACACCCCTACTGCACACCCTGTGTGTTATTTACATACGCACCCGCCTCCATATATAAGCTACACACTCCCGATATATTAGCTCCACACCCAGGCCCTATGTATTATCAACCTACACACACACCCTATCTACTCGTGTCTTCTCTGCTCTTTATTAGTCTCTCTGATTTGAAGCTATAATTCACCTATCATAACCACCACAAGGACTGTAAAACTGCAAACAAATTGCAGTCATTAGCACTGCCAGGACACTTGAACCAAACTAATTCTGCGGTAGGTTTACATCAATTCTGCCCCTTTGTCGTATTGTGTTAAAATATTGTATGAAGTAAAATGCATAGAGCAAATCTTGCCAAAATGTTTCATGTTAGAAATACGATAACAAGAAACCAATCTGAATATACAGTGGAGTTAAACTTATTTTTTAAATTAATCTTGACTGGATATGTACAGTGCTGAGCAACACCCCTCACATTAGACAGCCAGTAAATCCTGAATGATTCCTACACTGCCAGTATGCAAGCTTTGAAATTCTTTACAATCAAAGTGATATATTTCTGCCTTCTTTATTCGAAAATAAAACCAAACTGGTGTCCCTGCTCAAAGTGTGACTGTTCCGTTTTTTGCGGTGTTGTCATGGTTCTTTTAGTCCTTGAGGAAAGTCTAGCCCAAGTTGGAGTAGAATAGCTATTACAGGCTGCCCCACTTTTAGGGGAAAAAAGGTCATGATACCATCTACATGTTTTGTTAGTCTTTAAGGTGCTACTAGACTATTTGTTGTTTTTTTACATTTTTCCACTTTTAGGGGTGCCTGGCTTAAGCAGACTGTTACTTACTGCATTTACTGATCTGTTTTCTTTTATCTTTGTCCAGTTGTAGCCCAAGAGCATCAATAAAGGCAGAGCCAGACCCTAAATCTTAACTCATCCTGGACAAGTAAATACTGCGTCTCCACTGAACACTCCAAATATACAGCCTTTCCTCT